GTTTTAACAAATCAGTACTTACCTTTGACCCACTTGATGTCTTCTATTCAATGTTTTATTTTTAATGCTGGTTGTGATACACTAAACTGACTTCCCATCCTCTAGGTGTTGGCACAGCATCTGCCTCTGTAACTTTATTTGCACCACGATCTCTCCAACCAATTATATCCCCTCACTGAGCTTCCTGTCTCAGTGCTTCTGTCCATGCTGCTTCCTCAACAATGACCACTCAACATTCTCCATTCACTCAGCCATCTCCTAGTCTCCTTTCCCCAATACATACTCCAGGGTTTCACTTTAACATTGCTCCCACCAGACTAGCACACAGTCCTTGGTCATCCTCTCACAGTACCCTTGCTCTTTCTTCACAGTCTGTAGTACAATTGTAGGGAAATGACTCTCAGCAAGGTTGCTTTTTCACTTGCGAAAACTCTAAGTAAGGCCCCTAAATGTGGTGAATACTTCTTCAAGGGAGCTTCAAAAAGTTCATGGAAAAATTCCATTATCTTTCCATTCCATTTTTCCACAAACTTGCTCTCATAAGGACTCACTTTTCCTGCAATATTTCTTTAAGAAAAACAAAAGTGATGTAAAATTACCTCTACTATATGCAACATTGTTGCTATTGTTGTTAAGGGCCTTTGATGCAGTCTTGCAAAGCTAGCCAACCTTGTGGTTCGCAGTTCAGTGCTGATCCTACAATGCCACATCAGAAATCCATATGCGACATTAAGACACAAATTTAAAACTTCACGAAAAATTAACACTGACACTTCCCACAACTTCATCCTGGACTTCTAAATCTGCCTCCAAATAATGTGAAGTACACTATATTAATAAGAAGCACAACATCTAAATGTCCCAAGCTTTGTGTAGATTTATGGAAGGATACTTTTTACACGTAATGTTTAAAGATACTTTTTACATATAATGTTTAGAGATACTTCCTAGAAAATATGTAGGAGTATACTCTCTCAAATTTATTACTGCTACTTCAAGTTGGATGAACACACAAAAACAGGACATAACTACTATTTTGAATTTAAAAAACAAACAAACAAAACAACAAAGCATCCTAGAGTGCATAAGGAGCCCTAGTGGCATTCTGAATTAAGCAATGGGCTGCTACAGAAAGGTAGGCAGTGCAAAGCCAGATAAGACAGGCTGTAAAGATTTAGTCTCAGAAACCCTATGGAACAGTTCTACTCTGTCCTGAAGGGTCACTAGTATGAGTCAAACCTTGATTTGATGACAGAGAGTTTTGGTTTTCGTGTGCATATGGTTCAACTTCATTTTATTTTACTGTATAGAAAAGCCATGCAAAATTTATAATAAATTTAGAAATTAATTCTAAGTTGTACTGATATGAAAAGAGAATTATGATTTCTTGTGTAAGATGCTTTTTATGCTATAGGGCCCACGGAATAAACATTATTCCATAACATCACTGCATATATACATTATCTGAATGCAGTTACATATTGAGATAAAAGGTCTACAGGTTTCCCTCAATGTTTTTTTTTTTTCTTTATGATTTGCAATTAAAAATGTTGGAAAAAGGTGTGGCCAACATAACAATAGGGTCACATGTTAAAAGAAAATTCTTTAAGCCCTCAAACTAAGATCTGAGTTTTTAAAACCTTGGAAATTAAAAACAAATTTCAAACTGCTCTGCTCTAGTCATTATGAGCTGGATTGGGGGTGGGGGAAAGACCTCTAACAGTGTCCCCAACAATTCAATCACTTTCAAGATTTAGAAGAACGAGCAGCTTTGCTACTAAAACATCCCTGTTAACTTCCTTTGATTACCCCTGTGTTCTTATCTTGAGCATAGTATAGCACGGACAAGAAGCTATTTCTCTCCCAAACTACTTAAATGGCCTACTAGAAAATTAGCTTGTATATGGACAGGGGTCTCAATAATCAACACATCATAATTACCTGGGCTGTACTTGTTTAAAATGAAGAGTCAAGGTTCTAGGTCCCAGATGGTCAGATTCAGTAGGATGTAAACTCCTAGAACCTGCATCTTAAATAAGCTACCCAGGCACTTCTGACACAGGTGGGTCCTCAGTCTACCACCAAAGGGAAAAAACCATCCCAGAAGACTCACCTGAATCATTTTCAGTAAGGACTATGTTGGAGGTATTATTTCTGACATAATGACTTAGATTCCCATCTGGAAAATTGAGGAACAAAGTTATGTTCTTAGTAATTGTGCACCTCTCTCATGCTAAGTGCTCAGGTTTGTATTTTCTTACAAGGGTCATGCACAAAACAGCAAATCTATACTTCTGATAAAAGACCCAGAACTAAAAGGAGCATCTTGGTCAGGAAAGGTCCAAAAGGTATTAATTTTGTTCTGAGAATTCCTAGTGACCACTTGCTGACTGTGAACTTCTGCTGAAGGTCTCTGGTGAAAACTTCCAGAAGGTGGAGATCTTTTATTCCTCTGGGGCCTGGCACAGTGCTCAACAGAAAGGTAAACAGAAGCACTGGTGTCTCTGTTAGGATGTACAGTGGGAATTTCAATCTGATTCTCATTTGCTAACAGAATTGCCAAGGAGTGGTTAAAGTTGTTAAAACTGAAAGTGCTGTTAAAATGTATTATGCATTAGGTGGTGGTGTGGTAATGTGCCATAGAGTCGGTTCGAACTCATAGCAACCCTATATAGGTTTTCTAAGGCTGTAAATCTTTACAGGAGCAGAAAGTCTCATCTTTCTCCTGTGGAACAGCTAGTAGTTTTGAACTGCTAACCTTGAGGTTAGAAGCCCGACTATACTACCAGAGTTCCTTATACTTACAAATTTCACGCTAGTTTATTTTTACAAATAGGTAAAATATTTAGAGTTGCAAGCTCCTCCAGTTCCTGCTAGAAAAGCTCTTTGCAGATCAGGTAAATCTCTCTACCACTAAAGGAAGTTCTCAATTCATTTCATCCATCAAAATTGTGTGGAGAATCCCCATTTGAAGCTTAGTTCATTTATCCTTAGAACATATGTCTTGAGAGTGTTTTACCAAGGAAGACCTTTCAATAACCTTTTAAATCTATATACAAATTTCCTCTAAATAACTCTGAGCACTAACAAACATGAATTCTTGTAACCTGGAAATGTCCATGAAACATTATTCTACTTTCAGTATAAAAAAATTAAAAGATCAAGAGATTAAGGTTTTGTAGTGAGATAAGTAAAGGACTTGAAGCAGTACAGATCTGAGTTCAAATACCAACTCTACCACTTACTAAACTATGAATCTAGGAAAGTTACTAACTTCTTCAGTCCCCAATTTTCAGATGAGGGAAATGATACAAGCTTCATTGTAATTTAAGAACTTGCTAATGTAATAAAGCACTTCACTAGGATGGACTAGTTCATCCCAGGCACAATGTAAATGCAAGCTGATGTTATACCATTCTAGATCAGAAAAAAGCAAAAATGTGTGGTTCTGTAGGATAAGTACTGGACTGGTGACCAAAAGTTGTACAGTTCAAATCCACCAGTTGCTCCTTGGTAATCCTATTCAGGGTCACCTGAGTTGGAACTGACTCAACAGCACACTCAACAACAACAATCCTCCTGCCAGTCTAGAATCATCTATCAACGAAAGGTTTATGGTCAATAAGATACATTTTTGTGTGTTTTTATAAATAAAAGGGGCCTTTCAATGAGAACCCTTTGAATTTACCCTTTCCGTTTCTAGCCCCAAAGTTTCCATACTTTTGACAGATCACAGGCCCCAATACTTCCTAACATCTCCACCACCATTTTCAAAACAGCCCTCTTTTAGCCCTGAGATATCTAACTTCCAAAACCATTTACATACAAACTTTATACCTTGCCACTGCTTTAATCAACAATAATTCACTTACTTGATTCTTTCAATGGCCCAATCAGATCAACAAGGCTGATGTTATATCTTGATTTTACTGTTAAAGCCAAAGATATATTTCTAGAAAGCAGCATAGCCCAGCCTAGAAATCAAATTTATAGACTCTAAGTTCAGTACTCTTTCTACTCATTCATAAAACTACCTTCTCTTGCATATTCTTTCTTTACATCAATATTTAACAAAACACGAGGGAAACCCCTGGTTGTACCTCTCAGTTATTATTACGGATATGCATGCTACAAAGGACAGCACTCTCCCTATCTTATGGGTATTTTCTAGAGAATAGACACAGTCCTCGCCACTCTAAGGCATAGTTACTTTCCTTGCTTTCTGCACCATGTTTATAATTCAAGTAAACTGGGTTCTTTACAAGAAAAGGACCAACAGGCCTCTGTGCCACAGTCCCTCAACCCCAACCTACATCGTTCTCCATTTCTGCCAGTATCTACCTTCTTTCCTCCAATCTGAAGTTTTTTTTCAATCTGACATCCTAAAGGGAACCATTCTCAACCACAAACGACCCTAGTCACTAAACCGGCCCGTGCCCACAGCTAAGTCTTTCTCACCAAACACCGCAGAGATGCCCCGAAACATTTACGAGTATCCTTCTTCTTCATCTACAGCCTCACTTCTGAATAACTGTATCTTACAGAGTCCACACCTTCTCGCCCCTTCCCCGCGACCCTGACCGCCCCACGCTCACCCTTGCACCTCCCCCAAAACCTCCCAGTCTCCAGGGTTGGCGGGCGATACTTCCTATCTCTCCGGGCTCGGACTGCCTGGCCTGCAACCCTCCGTCCCGGTCACAGGCCCTAGTAGTCCACGGCCCCCTTCGTTCTCCCTAGCCCAAGGCCCATCAGCCGGTCTGTGCCCCACCTCCCCGCCCAAGGCGCCAAGTCCTCGGGGCTCTGTCTCCAGGCCCGGGCCGGGCTCCGAAGGCACCAGGCTCTGCGAGGAACATGGGGAGGGGACGGCAGCGGTGGTCAGGGCACAGGAAGGGACCGGCGCTCGGATCGGGCGACTCCGGGCCCGGCCGACTCCCGGCTCCCGTGGCCCCGATTCAGTCCTCCCGCCCCGCCGGCCCCGCGCCTCCGCGGCCTGCCCTCACCTGATCCAGGTTCTCGTCACTGCCGCTGTCTTCAGTGTCCGAGTCGATCACGACGCGGCCTTTCCGCTTCTTTACCATGGTGGTCCCCCGGCACCCACGCCGGACGCCGCCTGGACTCCCCTCTACCCCGCCTGCCAGTGGGACCGCCACTGCCGCTGCCGCCGCCGCTCGACCCACACAAAGGCGACCGCGCATGCGCGCTCCACTCAAGGGGGGGGCCGTCGCACGCCGTTCGCTGGCGCCCGGCGCCCCGCCCCATCCCACCCCCAACGCAGCGTAAGAGGCGGGACCGTGCGCGGGGCCTGGTAGTGGGCGGTGGGTGGCGGTCCTTTACTGAACTGAACTTCTATATGTGGAATCTTAGGCGAGTCGCTTGCTGCGGGATCGAAGCTCGGTGGGCTCCCTTTGGGGCGAGGATTGGAGCCTCAAGGCTTTGAGTTCACTCTAAGGAGGCTCACGTATCTCCAGCCTTTTAAATGTCCGACACTGATGAAATGAAAACAGCTTCTAGGGCGGCCTGCCTAGTTGACCACGCAAAGAACACTGGCTAGGAGGATAGAGCCTACCCAGACTGTGCAAGTGACAGCTGATCTGGGGCGCAGTTTTGTTTTGTTTTCTAAAGTAAGGGAAAGAGTATTCCAAGCACAGAGAACAGCATGGACAAAGGCCCAGTGATAGAGAATGCTGGATTAAAAAAGAGTATGTGTGTGGGTTAATGCGAGACATGAGACTGAGGCCAGAGCCTAATAAACAACTTAAGGAATCTGAGCTTTAATATTGAAAGTTTTAAAACTGAAGAACGGCATGATTAGATTTGTGTTTTTTAAACAATACTGTAGCTTCAGTATGAAAAATGTATTAGAAGAGAATGAGACTAGGAGCAGGAAGACCTCTTGGGCAAGATGATGGTGTCCTAATTTAGAGAACAAACAATGGGAATGGAGACAAGTGGAAGTATTCTAGCTAATTTGGAAGGCAGAACCTACAAGACTTGGAGCTAAATTGAGAGGGGTAAGAAGTTCCAGGATAATACTCATATTCTAGTTTAAGAATCTGGGGCTGTTGGGCCCTTAGTCAAGATAAGGAACACAGAAAAGGAGGAGACTTGGAGGTCTCATCTGTGTAGGAAACATGTTCAATTATATATATATTGAGTATTGTTAATTAAAAAAAAGCCGTTATCTTAATGGCTTACCTGGTGGGGTGAGACAGATAATTATCCTGGAGGGATTTGCCCTCTGGATTTGCTCTTCTCAGGCCAGAGTTGTTACGCTTGTCCATTTACTGTCACAATCTGGCAAGAGAGTGTCTAAAGGTGTCCATGTGGATCACCTGTTATTGTTAAGTTCCATCAAGCCAATTCTGACTCACAGCAACTCTACATACAGCAGAAACAAACATCCCCTAGTCCTGTACCATCCTCACAATTGGTGCTATGTTTGAGCCCATTGTTGCAGCAACTATGATAATTCATCTTTTACACTAACCTTCTACCAAGCATCATGACTTTCTTCAGGGACTAGTCCCTCCTATAGACAAAGTACATGAAATGAAATCTTGCTAGCCTCACTTCTAAGGAGCACCTGGCTGTATTTCTTCCAAAATAGATTTGTTGGTTCTTCTGGCAGTCCTTGGAATGCTCAATGTTGTTGTTGTTCTGTGCCGTCGAGTCGGCTCCGACCCATAGCGACCCTACCATAATTCAAATGCATCAGTCCTTCTCTGTTCTTCCTTATTGTCCAGATTGTATGCATCTGAGGCAATTGAAAATACCATGGCTTTGGTCAGGCATACATTAGTTTTCAAAGTGACATCTTTGCTCTTTAATACTTTAAAGAGGTCCTTTGTAGCAAATTTGCCCAATGCAAATTTGTTGTTTGGTTTCTTGACTGTTGCTTCCATGAGCATTGATTGTGGATCTAAGTAAAATTAAAATTTTAACTATTTCAATCTCTTCTTTTCTGATGAGGTTTATTGGTCCAGTTGTGAAGATTTTTATTTTCCTTTCATCGAGGTATAATCCATACTGAAGACTTCAGTCTTTGATCTTCATCAATAGTACTTCAAGTCCTCTTCACTTCCAGCAATCAAGATTGCATCACCTGCATGTTGCAGTTTGTTAATGAGTCTTCCTCCAATCCTGATGTCATGTTCTCCATATAGTCAATCTTCTCAGATTATTTGCTCAGCATACAGATTGAGTAAGTATGGTGAAAGAATGCAAACCTGATGCCCACCTTTTCAGATTTTAAACCACTTAGTATCCCCTTCTTCTGTTCAAATGACTGCCCCTTGGTCTATGTTCAAGTTCCACATGAGCACAATTAAGTGTTCTAGAATTCCCATTCTTTGTAATGGGTCTCCCAGGTGCCCCAAAACATTCCTTCCTGCTCCTGTTGTATAATACAGTACAATCCTCTTCACGATTGGGGTCAATTTCTCTTGCCAAGACACTGATTTCCTTTTCTTGTGTTGAAAAGAGGCCAAAGTGTCAAGTGGTAGCCATGAGGGGCCAAAGCATCAATTTATCAGGGTCCTTGCTGTGTTCCCTTATGGAAGGAAATATTCCTTTAATCTTGCACAGCCTAAAGTTATGGGTCAGGAAGAAAAATGTTCCAAGTGAGTCAATGGGAGTGATGTGAGGGCCACTCCTACTTCTATCCTTTAGACATTATTCCCATGTATTCTTACAATTGGGGACAAAGCATCATTAAAAGATGCTTTGATTTAAGATGTATACTCTGGTAGCATAGTGGTTATGAATCGGGCTGCGAACCTTAAGGTCAGCAGTTCGAAACTACCAGCCGATCCGCAGGAGAAAGATGAGGCTTTCTACTCCTGTAAAGACTTACACCCTCGGAAACCCTGTACAGGGTCGCGATGGGTTGGAACCGACTCAACGGCACTTAACAACAACAACTGCACCCTGAAAATTGCATCCCACTCGCACAAAGTATTGCCTCTTCGTTGGTGCTTCAACAGGTCATTTCAATACGCTTTCAGACAGGCAGCTTCTGAGTAGTGTGATAAATGGTTTAGAATATGTCTGCAAATTATTTGACACTGCCTTCAAAAGGTAGAGGTTAATTCCCTTCCTCCTGAGTGTGGGCTGGATTTATTGCCTCTGACAAATAAAATAGAGCAGATTTGATGGTATGTGACTTCCAGACTGGGCATACAAGGTCTTATGGTTTCTTTCTTTTTTCTCTGAGTCTTTTTCTCTTTGGCTCACTCTTACAGGAAATCAGCTGCTATGTTGTAAGGACACTCAAGCAGCCCTATTGAGAGATACACTAGACTATAAACTCCTGATAATAGCCATAAGAATTAATTTTTTGTAAGTGTCTCGTCCATTCCCAATCAAGACTTCAGATGATTGCAGCCCTGGCCCAAAGTGGTGACTACAATCTCATGAAAGATCTCAACCAGAGCCATCCAGCTGCGCTGCTCTCAAACACTTAGAAACCATGTGAAATAATACAACAGCCACCCAAAAGATGAACTATCTAGGAATAAATGTAACCAGAGAAACAAAGGACCTACTATACAAAGAAAACTACAAAACACTACTACAAGAAACCAAAAGAGACTTACAAAAATGGAAGCATATACCATGCTCCTGGATAGGAAGACTTAACATTGTGAAAATGTCAATACTACCCAAAGCAATCTACAGATATAACGCAATTCCAATCCAGATTCCAACGACATTCTTTACAGAGATGAAAAAAACAATTACAAACTTTATGTGGAAAGGAAAGAGGCCCTGGAGAAACAAAGCACTGCTTAAAAAGAACAAAGTTGGAAGCCTCTCACTCCCTGATTTCAAAATTTACTACATGGATACAGTGGTCAAAACAGCCTGGTAACAACAATAACAACAAAAACCCAGCCTGGTAACAACGAAGTTCAAAAAAGCAAAGGACAATAAATGCTGGCGAGGATGTGGAGAGACTAGGACCCTCCTTCACTGCTAGTGGGACTGTAAAATGGTCCAACCACTCTGGAAAACAGTATGGCACTTCCTCAGAAAGTTGGAAATAGAAATATCTTATGATCCAGCAATTCCTCTCTTTGGTATATATTCACAAGAAACATGAGCTATAACATGAGTAGATATATATATATGCAAACCAATGTTCATAGCAGCACTATTCACAATAGCAAAAAGATGGCGACAGCCTAAGTGCCCATCAACTGAAGAATGGATAAACAAACTGGTACATACACACAATGGAATATTATGCTACCTTGAAGAATAACAAGGAAGCTGTAAACAGCTGCATAACATGAATTAACCTTAAGGACATCATGCTGAGTGGAATTATTCAATCACAAAAGGATAAATATTGCATAGGACCAAGTAAAAGCTTAAGAAAAGATACCCATACTAAAAGAAAAAAAAATATTGGTTACCAGGGGTGAGAGGAGGGAATCATAGAGCACAGGTTACACAGTAGACACATCACAGATCCGGTGTTGGGGAGGGCAAGTCACAAAAAGGGGGAGGCGGATGGAAGAACAAGGTAGATAGGGGAATACTTAGGTAGGGATGCAAGGGCTAAATGGGACAGAGATAAATAGTGATGCATGCTCAACCTTGGAACAACAGGGCTCTGTGATATAGAGATAGAGGCATAGTCTGAAGAGGGGAAATAATACTAAGATACTTGACTTATGAATATTGGTTTCCCTTACCTACTATTGTAAATAGACACTTGAGTGAAATAGAAAGGATTATTCAGAAACATGATTACAGAAAGCTTGTAAACCCACCTTCAGCCTATAACTGACTGGAATACCTAAAAGAGGTTCTAGAACTTGCTCAGTGAAACAGGCTTCTTGAGGAAGAGCCTTTGCAGTGTATAGGACCTTAAGTGGAATCCTGAGCCCCATCTAGAACTAAAGAGGGACATTCCCACTTGAAAGGACATGAAGAGCAGCACAGAGAGGCTAGAGGAACAGAAGATACTTCCTGAAAAAAAAAAAAAAATCAGGGAAAAACAAAATCAAAACCAAAAATGGTAGTGTGATTGGCTACTACAAGAACAAACAAGCTGTTTGCCAGGGAACCATCAAGGCAAGCAATCAGGTCAACCCCCCCTCCAAGACTGAAACTCAAGGGTAACATATGAGCAGGCACGTAAGCTCACTGGTGACTGCGTTGGACTCCATTTGGGTGGAAGTTGAGGAAA